CCTCCACTGTGTATGTTCCACTGCCGGTATAATTGATCTATCCTTCCCTTTTTTTATTCGTTTGTGCTCATAGCGATCAACGCTTCACTCAGTATTGTCTATTTCTCGTCCAGCTACTTTGCCCTGTCCTTTTTTCCATAATCACATCAAGCTACCCATCGAAAACGGAATTCGTACNNNACTGTGTTGACATGGTACCTGTTACAGACTGATAGTAGTAATAATAATATATTACCTTACGAATTTGCGTTGTAGATCTTAAGAATTTTGTTCATTCTAAATTTTAAAAAAATTGTTCAAGTTCAATCAAGCAGCCCGTAGAACCCCTTTGTTTTGATGTGCTGTTCATTGTGAGTGTATAATTTTTCAGTCTGTCGTGCGGTTGATTTCCCGACATTTCGTTTCAACGTACTGTGAAGCCAGATTACCTCATGAACAGGATGAGTTTATGCAAATGTATGTTAGCTCGAAAAAATGGATTGTCCAACTACCAGTGAAATATAAGTTCACATCTGTGAATTCTCTCCTTGTTACGAAATCATTCGATAAATGGTTCCGGGGAATGCCTTCTGTTTGGTGCCGAAAGCAATCCCCGACTGGGTTTTGACAGAGCATTAATGTGAGAGATTATTGGTGCATAATTAGTACCCATCTTGTGGTTAGTTTTTCACTTTCTACAGACAAGCCATCGTGGTGTTACACCGATCTGTTTCGTTCTGATTCGGAAAATCATCAGTCGGATTCATCTCCGTCAATGGCCAACGTGAACGATAAACAATCGAATGTGTTAGTGGCCGGACATTAGTGCTCGCGCGCACACACACAACCACAGTGAGAGAGTCGAACGCTAGCACATGTATGTAGATAGTTATTCACTGTGTTCATGGCTAATTTCGGCCCGCCTGCTGTAGACTGACGACATTCCGTTCATTTTTCATGGTGATCTGTCTCGTTGATTATCGGCAAGTCTTAGAGTCGGTGTGTGCTGCACTACTGTGACAGTTGATGGAACTTATTCATGCCAGTTGTTTCGTCTTCACTCGCCCTACTCCCTTTTTCATCCTCGCCCTTTCAGTGGTTTCATCCCCCGGCCGAGACCGTTTACTACGCAACTGGGTACCAAATTAGACAGTGAGTACTTCTATTATCAGTACTACTACTACTACTATTGGTAATACCCTAACCATTGGCAACCGCAGCTTCATCGGCATTGCCACCATGACCACCGATCAAATCTTATTTGTCACTATGCTCATTGTACGTCTCCTACGGATATCCGCTTTAACTACTGGTGTGTGTATGCACAAACAAACAACCCACAATGCGTCATCTCGGGTGCAAGATTTCTATGCTGTTCCGCACAGTTCTCTAATCTATGTGTATGTGTCCTTGTGTCATCAGAATGACAGTCATCTAACTCATGGAAGCTATGTGCCTTTCGTGCATCTGTCTTTTCTCTCTCTCTCTCTCTCTCCATCCTTCCAACACAGTTTACGTGTGAACTGGCCTGTTCATACCCATTTGTCTAAAACTGCGATTCGCGCGTGTGTGCGTGTTATTGACAACTTTGTTTTGGCCTTGCTTATCATCCCATCATACCTATGTAAATTGAATTGCATGCAGCCTGACAACATATACAGATATTTTCCAGCCTGATACCTCGACAGGTGCTGTCTTTAGTTCCTAACTCCCCTAAGTCCGGGAGTGATCTTTTTTGAATTTTTCTCACAATTTTGATTGTCAGTTTTGTTTTGGTGAACGTGAACTAATTTGCAAGATCTTATAATTCCCCCCTGCTTCTTTTGTCAGGTTTACGCCATCTTAGTCAGGGATGTTTGGATCAGTACACGACCGAGGCCAGACAATTAGGTGCCCGCGTGGCCGAAAGCCGACGACAGCTTCAAACAACCGTGGCTCAAAGACTGCAAGCAGAGCAACTTCTGATGGAAGCCCGTGGTCAACAGCATGAGCGTGTCGATCCGGTTGACCTGACTGATCAACCAAAACTTGAGGGGCTAACACCCAGCGTGGTATCTTGCACCCACCTTGTTTCTCCTCAGTCATCAGGTCTGGCTTACGTTTCTCCGGGTCGACAAGTTAACCCGAAGGAAGATGGCTCTGGACCCAGTGCATCTGTTGAACCTGGTGAGGAAGTGAATGAAACTGGGGATAATTTTTTATGGCTTCGATCAGGCTGTTTTGTTCATCAGCCCAAGTTTCTGTCGATAATTTTTTGCGATTAACTCCTTTTTCCGAATGTTTTATGCAGTGTTTCTAGCTGCATCTTTGGGGTTTCCAAAAACAACGACAACAACAAAGTGTTGATTCTCCCACATCCTTCAGGTTTGCTCAATTGGAAATCACGCTGACTGCTTCAACAAAACGGTCACCTATTGGTTACTAGAGAGTAGTGCGATGTATTTCAACATCACACAATTCAATGATCAAAAACCCTGGAGATCCCAGGTACTTTGTAGATATCCATAGCTGCCTGGCACGTACCCTGGTTGTGCCGGGGAGTGTAATGTCAGCACGGGTGATCTACGAATAAGTAGTGGCTTGTGGTGAGAATTATGCGCTCGTAAACAAATAGCAGCAGCACTATCTGGGCTTGGGTGTGGGTGACGAACTGGGGTAACCTGTTTCCATGCGAAAGCCACATGACACTAACGCCATCTGCGTGACCAGGGCCGATCTGGCAGACCTTTCAAAAACAAAGTGACCACTTCCCCTCCCCCCTACACTTGAGGTTAGGGTCAGAGAAAGAAACGCAAAGCTATCCTATCAGCTAACGTCCACGTGCATGAAAAACCGACTCTATCGCGCATGAACTTGCTGCCCCTCGTCTCTCTCGGGTGTTCATAATCCCCTGGACACGATCGCTCGAATGGCTTATAAACCACCTTGATCACGGACAATCAAAAAACTGCAACTGTTGACGCTGTTCAGTTTCCATGCTGGTTGGATTTTGAATAACCAAACACTCCGAATTGAACTCCCTTGGAGTGAGTTCCTGTACTTGATCTGGGAAGCGGGGAAATATGCTGCCTTGTGCGAAGGATGTCATCTTGTGCCAAATTCTAAGGGCTCTTCCGGGGATATGAAACCGACTCATCCTCCCGCAGGAAATAGCCGCATAAAACTAGCAAGAGTTAAACGTTATTCGTCTTGTACCACGTCCAGGGCTATAACCGGGGTTGGTGAACAGCTGGCAGTTCACCTAGGGGAATCGGCTAAAAACGCTGATTCCAAACCAACCAGTAAAAGGCGTAAGAACCACACACACACACACACACACACACACACACACACACACACCTTCCTGGTCGTGGTAGCGGTTACCGGCTTTATTTGGTATCGAGGTCCATTGGGCACCTAGGATATTTGATCCTGTCCAAAGGGCGAATGATCCGATGAACTGGACACCGGCCCCCAATGGATTGCGGTTTTCACACACCACCCCGCTGCCTTGCGGGTCAAGCTTTGGCTAGCCGAGGGCTCCGGTTGTGAACTCCCTAAGAAACTTCACCTGCTTTGTCCTGAGCAGCCTAGGAGTATGGTACCCTTGGCAAATCATGGTACTTTTTTCTTTTTATAAATGGTATTCTAACCTGACTTGTCTGCTACACAGTCTGAACTCAAGCGTGTGAAAATATGTATCTTATGCATAGATTGAAATTGATAGTCAGGGTTGCGAACACGGTTATTCCAATAGTGATCCTATTATATCCGCGATTTCGCAATTGTTACCAGTACCATATTCATATATTGCAGTTTTTTAGGTTTATTGAAATGCTCCTTTTACTATGGTGCCAGAATTCCCTCTCTGTGATCTATCCATTCACTCACTTGTTCCGTATCACAATGACATTGCTCTTTCAGGATCTTGATGTGGTGAGCTTTATAGAGTAATATCTGTGCCTTCGTCATGTTGGCCCGCATATGGCACCCCTTATTTGTGTGATCCTCATTGTTTGCACACGATCTTTGGTTGCATCAAACCGCACGTGTGTACCTATGTATCTCTGTCAATCTCTAATCGCTCCGATCCCTTCGCTCAACCTCCTTTTATCTCATTCCCATGTGATCGGTTTTATCCTCGTTCATGTGCTTCTCCCTCTTCTATTTCAAATCATACAGAACTCTTTCTCTGTCTGTCTCTAATCATGCACGTTTTTTCATGTTGTCTTGGAGCTTCCATCCATTCACTCCATTCCAAATATAACATAGTCTAATCGGGTCACAGCTTCTAACATGCTATTCGTTTTGAAGCCTCTCAAACAGGAGAGAGATGTCTGTTAACCCTCGAAATTAGCCCTGATATCCACCACCACTGCCCTAGTAAACTGCATTCCGTGTATCTTATTAGGGGGATAGTATTTCTGTGCATGGCATTGGGCTTTGGTAGTTTGATTCCAGTCCTAGTGTGTTTGGGAAACCAATTCCTGCTCCCCCTACCTGGTATTTTCCATAAGATTATCCGGCTCTTTTATGGTGACTACAAGATGACCACAAGTCACTCACCTGTTTAAAACACACCTGACAAAAAAACCTATTAAATTGTCAAACTTCATATAAAGCTGAGCAGGAATGGGCACGCTGTTGAATCAGACCGTGATGACA